AAAATAACTCTCTCGAAATAAGAGATTGATTCATCACGTATGTATACATTATGTATACATGCATAATATAATTTTAGAAATTTAGAAATGTAAGAAAATGTATATAATAATGTAAAAATATATTTTATTATTAATGGAAATATTCAAATAAATATTTAATATAGTAACTGCATTGTAATTTTAATAAATATAATTTACTAAAAATTACAATTTTTTCCAAAGTATTCTAAATCTATTTTCGCACGTGATATGTTCTCATTGCACATTAGTGCTTGTGCTAGAAGCTGTACGTTATATAAGCAAAAACTTAATTATTCAGTTTTTATCTTATAAATAAGAGGTACGTCCTGCCTCATCGAAGAAGATCGCCATTCGCGCTTTGAAAATATCCTTTGAGGAAATAATGCCGCGAGGTCGGTGAAAAATGCAAAAACGACTTTGTCTGCTCTTCCTTCGAAGACCGAATGCGCGTATATATCGGATATACAACCACTCCGTCGCTCCGTGTTGAATAATTGACAATGCAATTTGCTCGAGCGGTGGTAAAAGAGGAGTACTTCGTATCTTTGCGCGAAAACGTCTTCGGTTTCAAGGCGCAGTGCGGTTTTCTTCGTGCATCCTTCGTTGTAAAATGTGATGTTTTCCCAATGTGACAGGACAAAGATATTCCGCCTGATTGTATGCAAACATTATGCATTTTCTTTCAGATTAATTATTTATTCTTAGATTTGATATATTATATCTAAGTTAGAATTTTAAGGCAAATAAGTAGAATTAAACAGCAATCTCTCTTCAAGCGACATACTATTATACTAACAATTTCTTATGTATCGATTTGGAGTAATATTTAGTCTTGAAGCTCTCGGATGTCAAACTGCTTCAACAGTTGAATTACATGTACCATTACATGTACCATTTGATTCTGCGTAGAAACCCTAATAGTGACACGCAGACATAACGTGGTTGCGAAGGTCGAAGGGCTTTCAGGAAGGGGTGTTACCGGTAGAGAGACAGACTACCACGCCCCGTCCCTAAAATTTCATCCCCTGAATGATTAAAACCTAATATTAGGGACACGCCTACTTGGGGTCCTCCGAAACCCTCGTTGCAATGTACCGTCTCGATTTTGTTATCCCTTATCCTCTACGGCCTACGCAATCTACTGCAACTCGATATCTGTCTTTCTTCAATCGCAGAATCTAATAATCCAATATTTTTATTATGTGATATTACTCCCATTTTTCTTCTTTATCTTTCTCAGAATAGGTCCATCAATAACAATTATCCTTTTATCGCCGAAATTTGTTTATGAGAATCTAAAAAGTGTGTAATACACTTACAAATAAATTAATAAATTATAAATACATAGTCAGTTTGTATTGTCAAAGTATGGAGATTGCTTTTCATAAGATATTAAATTTGCATTTCTCTATTGTAACTTTGAAGTGTTACCATTTTTATATGACGATTTCTTTTTGAAGATGATTTTTTAAATAAAAATCTATTAAAGAAGAGCCTTTATTATTTTGCGAGTCGTTAAACTAAATATTTAGAATTAATAATTTCTAGAGTAATGTTGTTTTGTACCAAATTAAAACTGTGCATCTGTTAAATCTGCGAAAAAATTTTCTTTTCATTTAGAAGTTGTAAAGAGAGAAAAATGTTTCTATGTAAAAACTGTGAGAAAAAAATTTGTTCTATTGAATTTTGAAACTGTGAAGAGAAATTCTTTCTATACTTATATTGTGAAAAAGCTCTTTTTAATACTAACATATCATTCACTAACTATCATTTTTCCCTTTTTTCTTTCATCTTCTTTTTCCTTTTTTCTATGATATTTTGATTCCTTCTCTCTTATTATTTTAACATTTTCAAGAATATATCATATTTCATATCATCCATCCATACTTTCTGCTTTCATTTTCTTCGTTTCATAATTTCTGGACAAGCACAGTACTCTCTCGCAGTATAGATAGTACAAATCCATGCGGGATTTTTGCAGTTATAGTTCAATTTCCGGTCAGCGGTTTATTTTTACGAATTTAGTTCAAAGTAATTCGATAGATTGAACAAGAGAAAGGGAGAAAGTCAGGGAAAGAGAAAAAGGGAAAAGAGAAAAAAAAGAATAATAGATAACAATAGAGGAAAAAAGAGAGAAATAGGAAAGAGGAAAAAGATAGAAGAAATAAAGGGGGAGACAAAATGAAAGAAAGAGATAGTTGGAAAGCGATGAAAGGGATAAATTTCGAAATCCGCGGTTTATCGAATTGGAGAAATATTATCGTTATAAGATATTCAACACTGACCTGTAATAAACATATCAAATGAAGACGTGACAGTTCTTGTAGCCCGTTTTAAAATTCGACACACGTTTGTACGAGATAAAACTTTCACAGTTAGAGGGAAAAGAGGATTCCGAGAATGACACGTCGTGACGTCCCATCCGTGTTTTTGCTACGTTTTTCCGCAGGGCTCTCCATGTCGACTTTGTCACTCTGTAATGCCATAACTTATTGTTAGACGTTTCTAACGTTAGAAGTTTCTTATTGCTTGAAAGCTGCAGAATCATAGCTCCAGCTGTTACGAATATTAAAGCAAAGTATCTATGTTGAACCAAAATTTTAAAATACTGATTAGTAATTACTAGCTTAGTAATTAATTGTAAGACATGAATTTAAGTGAAAAAACTACATACGTATAAATTTTTATTAAAAATATTTATTTCCATTACAATTGGCTCGAGATAAGTCATTATCTAATTCAAGGTAGGTAAAATAATCAATTTTATCGAACCAATCATGTAACTTATGATTTATTTCTTGCAAGCAATGTTCGAATTAATATCGTATATTTAGTCTAAGAATAATGTAAAATTTTATAATTGCTAAAAGCAATATATTACACATATGTTTCCCATGATTTTCTTTTTTTTTTGTATAGTATAATAATGTTGTTACTATGATGTTAGATTATTTTCTTCATCATTATAATAAGTCGTATGACTTCAATAATAAGTTATTTTCATTGAATAATCGAAAAAAAATTGTTTTCTACTTTAAATGAGTGCTTAACCTGAGAATTTTATTTTACTTGCGCAAATTTCGCATTGTCTATTTTTAATCAATAAAGCAACCGTAAGAGGCGAACGAATGATCGGCTAACCCGATGCAACTGTCACAAATTGCGGCACTTTCGGGAAAACTTCGGGGTTAAACTTTCGGAACTTCGGAAAGCTGGCCGTTAAATTCTCATTATCGTTAAAATTAATCCGGCCTTACGGCGTCACAACTTCTTGGCATATAACGCAACTCGTACCAATATATTCGTCAAAAAACCATTATTGTTATAGTAATTTAATCTCACGACGCGACGTGTATAAGATGTAGATTAAGAAACAATTAAACAATTAGATAATGAAACAATTAAATTAATGTTTTAGATCTTGGATGTGTAGATGACATGCATATTTTTTTATTTAACATCTCTCCCCCGTTAATGGAATCCATAAGTGATTTTTGACGATGTTGTAATAAACATAAAGATACCTAATATAGAAGAAATTTATTTAAGAAAATTTTATCTTTGTTTCAAATCATGCATATAAAATAACGCTTTAAGAACTAAATCTACTCAAGAATTAAACATCATATTTATGATGTCCTGAGAACAATTTCTGTTGTAATATTTTAACATATACTTATAAATAATTAATTTAATAATATTGTTATGTGCCAAAAATTGAAAATATTTAACTTGAATGTGGAAAATGTGGAAAAATCGAGATTTTATTTATAGGCTTATTCGTAAACTTTCGTCGTTCAATTATTAATAATTTGCTCTGTTCTAATATACTTTACAATATATATATATATATATCTTTTTAAGATTTATTTAAATTGTATTATATCCATATACACGGTATTTCTGTAAACATCTCTTTGTCGGTGTACACACATACACATATTTCTTATATTTTATTATAAATGTTGCCGTCTAGCAAATCCCACTTTACATAAAATTAAATTGTGCGTAAAACAAACAGAGGAAAATTAAGTTTGATGAGATTAGATAATATCGCGTGTCATCTTGAGGTAAGCAATCTATTTGATAGCGAGTGGGAATGGTTTGCTTGGCGTATCGACAGAGACTGCAATTTCGTAGCTGCCGTAGCTGAGTTGTTTTACTGTCTAGGTATCTACGCGTGTGAGAGCGTGATCAACCGATCCGGAGGAGAATTTGATCCCCAGTTGATCAAAGGCGATGCATCCGGGACCGTGGAAGGGCGAAAGCACATTCAAACTCGCAGCACGTATTCAATTTTTCTCTTGGAAATATCGGTGACACGACGGCAGTACTGCGACTCGGGATATTGTCTCTCGAGTTAAATGCCGCCTCTCGCACTCTTGTGCAAACTCACATTCGGCGGATTTTCGCACGACAATCGCGACGTTCAAGTTACATGTCATCTGGATTTACGACGCTTGGCTGAAAGTGATAAAGAATAGGAGCAAGAAATTGAATTGTTTGCTTTCTAAAATTGTATTGTAAAATGATGCAGATCTTAACTACCTTATTTTAATATATTAAATATTAAATAATGTTTATTTTAGCTGACAGGGGTTGAAAATTTAATGATAAGTATAAACAGACTTAAAAAAATCGAATTAATCTTGTCTTTTTAAATATTGTACAAAACTTTGAAATGTTCTTTTCTTTTTTTAAAATGCGATCTTATAGGATTATAAGATCTTGTGAATTAAAATAGTCCCTACGTACTAATATTTACATATAACATATCAAAATTTCTATCCCATTGCACAGATTTTACACGATACATTATAGAATGTCAAGATTGCCGCTACCACTAGCGACTTGTTTGTCTCGCGTTCGACGTATAGTCTAATTATATCGGTACATGTTGACTGTCCATTTCCCTGAGCAGAACAAATCGATCGCGTGTCATCTGCCGACTGGCATTGAACTATTCGTTTTCTTCAGTCGAGTATCGTTTTGCTTGTCCTCGTGGTCAGACGTTTCGTGATTCCATTGGCGAAATCATATTATTTCTCGCCGATACCAGCTCGACCTCCAAAATTTTGTCTGATATTTGCGATGCAAAGACGATTTAAAAAGATAGACAGTTTAATATAAAATCTGTGAATATAAAGAAAATTTTATCCATCCAACATTCTCATCATTTCTGTTTCAAAGAAGTTACACAAAATAAAGGTAAGTATAAGAATTAACAGTGTAAGAATAAAATCTTATTATGCTTTTTAAGATGATATCTGTTTCTAAAAATAATATATAAATACTGAAAAAAAGAATATAGATTTTCAAATACATTTAGCTTTTAATATTAATAATAATTTTTAGATTTTATGTCAAAAATTTGTTATTTTTAATGTTTGAACAATATAGAATGATGATTTATATTATCGTACTTTTTAAAAAATTTGATTACATTTACCTACAATATAAATACAGAAATAATCGTTAAATTAATACAAATTTTTTAATTAGTGCTACAAAATCTTATTGCTTTAATTTTTTGGGGATTTTTTGTAAAATGTAAATTATATTGTTCGCATAAGTATACATATTAATATATTATGCAATAATAATATGTGAAAATAACAAAGAAAAACGACAAAGCAATCTTTTATTATCTCAATTTTATTAAAAAACAGAAATAATTTTTAAAAAATTTAACCTTGTGAGTATTTTTATAGATATGTAAATCTGTGTCACAATATAGAATTTATTTTTTAAGATATTCGAAGATGTATAGTTTTAACCGCGTTTGAGTGGTTGCGTAAGCAATTGTTTGTTATAAGAGACAGTCTCACATTCTTGCATGTGCAGTTGATGTATAGGATGTCATCGTTAATAGATAATATGTTTGTAACGTCAGTTTTACTCTTGAAAAACAGTTTCACTAATCTATTGCACGTTGTTATAATCCCTGCTTTTTTTTTAGAAATAATTTTGCAACAGTCTTGAAGAATCGGAACATACTTTTTATTTTGTTCAATTTTATAAATATTTTGTACTTTACGCTTACAATCTTGTTTATTTTGTTAACTATTCATATATATCTATGAATTCATAATTGATGATATTTTCGTGTGAGCAATCTCTTTGACATATATTTTCGTAAAACAACCAATAAATTAAACCAATTTCTATATTCATATAGAGAATACAAAATAAAAAAATGTCAAATAATACACTATGCATAATAAATTTTCTAATTTTATTATAAAAAATTATAAACAAATTATAAACAAATAGATATAAAAATAACTCTTAAAGTGTGAAGTGTAGATGTAAAATGTACAAAAGTGAGATTAAAGAAAAAGGAAATTAAATTCTTCTAACTAAACAAAATAAGATAAAAAATGATAAATAAAATAAAATAATAATAAAATAAAATTACTGAACTAGGATAAGGTTTTCTAAAAATTATTAAACAGATTACTACAATAAAATAAATTATAGCAGTGTAATAAAATATCAACTATTTATATTGAACTGATCAAACTTTCTTGCAAACTTTAATTGGTAAGCAATTTTTAAATAATTTTGTTACTATCGTTAAATTGCAATTAACAACAATATATTAATAGCAAGTTTTATAATAGTATTTTCTCATTTATTACAATATACTTATTGTTAGATACATTATTAAAAAGACATATACTTAATTACATGATAAATAAAGAAGCTGGTATTTTAAAATATGTTAATAATTATGAAAAAAATTTAGTTGGACAAACATCAACTGGTTAAGTTCTTCTTTCTTAAATGGATTATTACAAATGCCAGTTTTAACTTCATGCTCGTGATAATCTTGTCTCGAGACTTAAATACGTGGATTAAATCGCGGATTCTTCTATTTCTGGAAATCAAGTATCTCGATGAGATGACAAGGACGCATGAAATTAGATAAAGATGACAATTGTTACTAATTCCCTACAGCTTAGGGTTCATATAAACAGCCGTGATGATCACAGAGCGACCCTCAGTATGGGTATTTAAACGAGGCTTAAACGAGACAGAACGTTTTGCGACATCGTGCGACGAGCGACGTTTCCCACGTCGACGATCCACTAAGAGTGAAAACGTGATCTGAAATTGGGTATTAAACTTTGCAGTTATTCTTATACTTGTAATTTTATATTATGATTAATGTTATGTAAAACGCTCAGTGTAATAGTGACTCAATTCCACGAAAAAGTGATATTTCTTGTATTGAAATGTATGAGTGTAATGGTCTAGTAGAAATAACGTAGGATGGTCAATGTTGCGCAACTACAGTGTAATTGGATCATGTCCACTATAGATAAACAATAGCGTATAGAAACGCACTTCATTCATACCAGCTGAACCATTACAGATTATATTCGTCATATACAAAACCATTTCCACCGTAGCTCTTGTCTCGTCTTGTCTTGATGACCATTTGAATTTGCTATTTGCATTTAATGAATTTAACAAAATAGCAGTTTGTATTTACTGGTGCACGGGAGAAACGCAATGTACAGGACAAAATTCCAATCTATATAAAGCATATATGAAACATAATATTTAAGAAATATATATGCGAATATGTGGAACATCAAAAAATACAAGAACTAAATTGTATTTTTTATTTCAAAATTGATATATAAAATATTTTATATAACTAGTCAATAATAAAGTAAATTAATGTAACAGCGAATGAATATTGTACATTTACTCTCCACTTTTTACTTATATTCTCAGTTAAATATTTATTACTTTGCTGAATAGAAATAAATTTAGATTCAGATCATTTTTCGCGTTTCTCATAAAATTCGACGAGCGTATAAGTCAGTTTGCAAAAGTGAACGAGAAAATATGTATTCTTTCAGTGAATCTGTGAGGCAGAAAATCTTCAGTGTGAGAGGCGTAACTGACAATTTGATTAAACTGAATTATTGAAACACAATGGGAAAGGTATAGTACTGATTGATATGCAAATTATTACTTATAGATATTTGCTTATTTGAAGTTTACGACTTTGTATATTTATAAATACGTGTATACATACATGTATGCGTGTATGTGTTCTAAGGAATATTATTTTAGACTTTTAAAATGAATTATTTTAGATATATTTATATATTAATTATTTTTCAACTATCTAGATTATCATCTGTTTTAAAAATATAAGTAGGTAAACTCTTATAAGCTATCGTATATTTTTGTATTCTTTATAACATTCAAACATTATATCAATAAAAAATTTGATTATCTATATATTTTTTTATACAGATATTAAATAAAGATTTGATTAATTTAATTTGATAACACGCGCCAGACTTGTGATCTGAGGAACCAGGTTCCTCCACTAGAGCCACGTAAACATGGAATTTTAATATTGCGTAAGCTGCGCCCCTGCGCACTCTCATGCGGAGCAAACTGGGCTCCGTCTTTTGGAAGAGACTTTAAACTGTTAGTCTAAAAAAGGTTTAGTGTAGAGAGGATAGTGGAGATTGAAAATTGTAATCCCAAGGAAATCGATTAGGGACTTCTATTCTATTCTAAATACTTAAAATATTATTATACATAATCAAATAATATCTAATAATTAAATAATTTTTATTTCTTTAATTTAAAGAAAAACTTTTTAACCTCATAAAAAAAATAATAAAACAGCAACAACGATAACTAAATATATCTTAAATATATCAATAAAATAATAATAATAATAATGATAATAATAATAATACAATAATATGGAAAATATAGAAAAAAGATATTTATTCTTTTCATATTTTCCTTTCTTAAAAACTAGCTATAAATAAAAACAACTTGTGTCATTCATATCCCAAAATACAATTCAACAGTAAAAAGCATTTGGCAGTAAACTGATAATTTAATTGTACTAAAAATAACTGTTTTAACGATTTAAATAGATCTTTCCTATTTTGCAGATAATGTTTTCATCGGTCACTGGAAAGCAGCAAGTACTGATGCTGTTTCTACTCGAAATTATCCTAATCGCGATAATAGGGACAACGATGACGTACGGTCCAGAGGCGAATGCTAATTTGCTAAAAAATCACACTGGTCAGTGTCCAAAACACACACATACATATAAATGTATACATGTACGTGGATCTCAGTTACATAATAATACGACTTGTATAGTTATACAAGAATTATTGAGTGTAATATAATTTTCATCAAATTCATGTTTTTATTCATAAATACATGTAAAATATTATTAAATAAAAGAATGTAAATTTATAATTAAATAACAAAATTTTAATTCTTTTCTACAAAAATTTTATAAAATCATATACAATATTAATTTATTACAAACAATTTTTTTCCGATAACTTTCAAGAAGTATACATATATAATTAAAAAAGAATTTATAAATATATTCTTTTTAGATATTTTTTGAACTATTTTAGAAATTTCTAGGAATTTTAAAAATTAATTGTAAAAATTTTAAGAGTTTTAACTTTATTGTTAATGATCAACTTATTTAAATTTTTTATATAATTTATGTACTATACAATTTCCACTATTGTGCTTAACATTAAATTCTAATTATATTTGTAGGCACCAACAAATCCGGACAAACCAAGAAACCGGATGACGATCCATTACGAATTTATCCAAGTAAGTAAATCAAATTTCTTCATTTAAATTATTTGTTATATTTTTCGTAAAAGAAGAGAAAAAATGAAGAAAAACAAAGAGTGAAAAAGAGCCAAAAGATATATTTGACAATTTTTGTTCAATATCAACAAGAATTTATAAAATATTCGTAAAACGATGTCTAAAAAATAGATTGTTTAATCTCTATCATGCAGAAAACGCAAGAAAAAAGTCAAATTTTTTTGTCATTCCACATATAAAAATATTAAGATAAAATCATTAAGAAGATGCTTTGCAAATCTTTCACATTATTTATATAAAAATGTATTAAGATAAACAAGCTATTTTGCAAATTGCCTATTTTTCAATGATCTTGGGTTAACGTCTACAAGTAAAATAAGATAAAAATTTATTTATGTAAAAAAATATAAGGTTCTATATTTAAAAAAATAGAAATAGCTTTTAGATCTCTTAAAAAGCACCTGAAATAAAATTATACTCATTATATCATTAAGTTCGACGACAGGTTGGTCGCGTATCTCCATATTTTCCTGTCTTGAGGTAACCTACGAATTTCCTTGAAAGTAAAGCATCCTACGTCTTTGACTAATTGTGAACAATAATCTAATCTACGTCTACCTCTACGTTTCTTTATTCCTATCTCCGCCTCCAATATGTCGCGTACTAATCCTTCATGTCTCAGCACAGGTGTCCTATACCATCCTATCTCTTCTACTCTGTATTGTTGTCTACATATTTCTCTTTTCCTTAATTTTTTCTAATACTTTTCTATTGCTAATCCTATTGCTACCTCTGTCCATGGTATTGTCATCATGCGTCTGTAGCATCACATTTCGAACTTATATTTTTTTCTTATCCGCTTCCGTCATCGTCCACGTTTCGCAACCGTACAATGCCGTGCTCCATACGTACGTATGTACTAACCACAGATAATATCTTATTCAAAACAGAATAAGTTTATTCTGAATCATTTTTTTGAACTAATATTTTTACACACATCACAAAGATCGCTTAAGAAGAAAAATTAAAATAAATCATTTTAATATATTTGCACGTGTTCAGCGTTGCACAAAGGAAAGAATATACAGGTTAGCATGTGAATAAGAGAGGTACGGTTTCCGACTTAACCTTTCTTATTTTAAACATCGACCCGCATGTGTTTAAAAGGTTGGTTGGAGAGACATTGTTTGCGCTAGTCGTCGGAAACAGTCCATCTTCAGCATTTGTCAGTGAATTGCATGTCTACGTTTCCGATTAATGGTCTACTTGAAATGATAATTTTA